CCCGGTCCGGTTCCCCCTCCCGGTCCGGTTCCCCCTCCCGGCGGCGGCAGCTGCTCGAGGCCCGGGCCTGAACCTCCTCCCCCTCCCGCCAAGAGAGGAGCCCGAGCCCCCGCCCCCCGCTTCGTCCCTGGAGCAGAGACCCCCTCCCGCCCTGCATCCTGCCCCCCCACGAAGGAGCCCCCTCCTCCTGCCCCCCCAACAGGACCCCGAAAGGAGCCCCCTCCTCCCACATCCCCCCTCAACGGGAGCCCCGAAAGGAGCCCCGTCCTCCCGGCCGGCCCCTTTGCTCCTCAGGCAAGACCAGCCGCTGGTTCGGGGTGGCGCAGCCCAAGTCGGCCAAGAGCAGCGCGAACATCCTGCAGCAGGAGGAGCTGATCGCGCAGAAGAAGCGGGAGATCGAGGCGCGGCTGGAGCAGCAGGCGAGGCARAGCTACCTGGGCCTCCCGCAGCTGCCCCTGCTCGGAGAGTACGTGCGCTCCGCTTAGGAGCCGGCTTAGCTGCCGCAGAGCGGGTCCAGCTCCATCCCACGGGCGAGTTTTTTGGAGGTCCCGCTCTTGGAGGCTCCAGTAATTGATAATTAAGCGATGATAGGTCAGGTTTGGCGGAGTTCTCCGGTTAAATGCTTGCCTGGATGCACAGGAGCATCGTGACACTCCTGATCCTGTTCCAGTGTGGGAGCGAGGAGGAGAGCGGGGGTAAACGTGCTAAGCAGCAAGCTCAGTGTTCTCATGTCTCCAAAAAGCTGGCTGTATTTTCAGCATTAAATGAGAGAGAGATCAGTGAACGCTGGTGCACATCTTGTTTTCTGGCCAGAATAAGTGTACAAGGGCATGGGGGAAGGCATGGAGTACCATCACCTGCTTTTCTTTTTCCTATTTAGAGATGAAGGTTCTGAAAACGAAGCCTCTGTTTCCAACAAGTTTGTTAATGATGGCAGTTTCCTCCAGCAGTTTCTCAAGCTGCAGAAGGAAAAGTCAAGTGCTGGTAGGTCAACTTCGGAGCAACAGGGGCCTTGTTCTCTTGACGATACTGGCCTTGTATGAGCTGCCTCCCTATATGTTCCCATTGGAACTCATCTGTGAGCTGTCACTAGTATGACTAGTTTCTAAAACAGTGGTGATCCCATTTAAATTTGGATTGGAATCTTTCTTGGAGGCCATACGTGCTAAGGAGGTTTGTCCTTTTGCCATCAAGGGGTGCCATAAAGAAAAGCATCTCTTTTCTACCTTGAATTTCCACTTGGAAAGAAATCATCCTAAATTTCACTTAGCTACGCAGCTTTTACCAGTCAGTGTCTTTAACTTGCTCTTAAAATAAYTGCCCGTTGCAGCTGTTGTTACTGCCTGTTCTTTGTAACCTGAGTTTAAAACAGAAAGGATGTGTAGGAATTATTTTCCCCTCGTTCTTTTTGAAGAACCTCCCCCAAGTTCTGCTAATAACCCGGCAAACGCTTCCGCATCAAATGTTGGGAAGAAACCTATGGTGTTTGGGAAGCGCCCTGGGCAGGTCCTCAACAGCATGCTGCACCAGGTGAAGAACTACTCCCATTCCAAACAGCCCCCGGTCGTTAACCGCCTCAGTGTATTTCAGTCGCCCGATGAAGAGGAGGAGGAGGATTATGAGCAGTGGTTGGAAATTAAAGGTAAATGACGTCTTGTGCTCTGCTGCTTTTATGGGCTCGTATATCCAGGCGGTGGGGTTTAGACAGCTGGGTTTCTCTGAATGTGATAGGCTAGGATGCTGCAAGGCTTGTTTGATTAATGACCTATTTCTTTTGTGTGTGTATTTTAATCAGGTATAAAATCAGRTTGGAGGTGGTAAATAAGTAATAGAAAGCCTTGTGTCCTTTCATTATATATGTATTTTTTAAAGTTTAGCTRTTTCTGATGGGAATTCATAAAATCTCAATCTTAGCAAGCGTGCACGTGAGTGTGAAGCACACTGCAGTGTGTCCCTTAGCTGCAGGGGGCCGAGACACGCGGTGGCTCTTCAACTTGCAGGTCCCGGGTTCACACTTAGCCTAGAATAGCGCACACGACTCCTCCTGCGTGCCCTGTGTTCAGCACCTTATCCAAAACGTTTTTGTCTAAGCAAACGTGTTTAGTCCCCACCGACTGTGCATTACATGAGATACGATGGGTGTTAGTGGGTCCTTTCTTGGCACAGAAACCAAAGTGCAGTTTCTTGCAGCCCGGATCTTTGGGATTTGCTCCAAGTGAGGGCTGAGGAAGGAAGCTGCAGAGGAAGGGCTGGATGTGCAGCTGCTCCAGCTGCCTCTGGTGTCTGGATGCAGCATGAGTGATGCCTCGGGGCCTGCAGTCTGCAYTCTTCCATGATTTATTAAAAATCAGTCCAGACTCCTGCTCCCTTGTCACCCTGTGTTTTATGTGGAGTACAATTGTCAGAAGCAAAGTGAAGTTGTACCTAAGTTTTGGTAATCCAGATCTTAGGCTTTTCTGGGTGGTGGAAAATCTAGTTAGACAATTTGGTTTCTAGAAGGGGAGTGTAGAGACTGATGGTAACCGAGGAATTGTAATTTGTACAGCTATGTAAGACTGGTTCCCCCATTTCATCCTCTCTCTTCCCATCCCCGTTCTACTTTTGTCTGCCTCTGTGGTTCGTAGAAGTAATGTACCTGTTGCCTGTTTGGTGTGTGAGTTGAACCCCAGTACTGACAGCCTGCTTAAAGTTTTACCCCCAGAGGATGCGGAGACCCGACAAGTGGTGGAAAAGCTGGCTAGGTTCGTGGCTGAAGGGGGACCAGAATTAGAGAAGGTCGCTATGGAAGATTACAAGGATAACCCAGCTTTTTCGTAAGTGTGGCAATAACTCTCGTGTTCCAAAGCAGCACACTGGCTCTTTGTAGGAGGCATAGTACGTATACAGTACTTACAAGACCCATATGCAGGTCTTAGGGGTCTTTTGGTTTAATTATCCTCTAGTGGATTCCAAATCTGCTGCAAATAATTGTCTTCACTTTGGGGAAAATGAGGCAGAAGGGAGGACTGTGGTGTTGCTGAGGATACAGATCAGTTAGCAGGACTAAGAATAAAAGTTGGGGATTTGGCTGTGCACGCTGCGTCGTGCAGCGTTTGAGCATACTGGGCTGGGTCTCCAGGCTGATGTGTCTCCTCTGCCATCAATCCGCTGTGCGGCTGTGGACATGAGATTCGCCCCTATATGAGAAGGGGAGACGCATAGAATGTTTCCTCAGTCAAATAACAGAAAACATTTGGATGTGAGATTTTAGATCAGAGCTAAGTGCATTTATATATACTAAAGCATTTATAATTCATGTTCTAAATGCCTTCTGTGTAATTTATCTTCTATTTCTTTCTAGTCTCTTGAGTTATATACATCTCAGAGTATCAATATTTGTGTAGAGCTGTTGCTGATGCATATTTTCCACCCTTTTTTCCTTCATTCCCCACACCCTTGCCCTTAGGTTCTTACATGATAAGAACAGCAGAGAATTCCTTTACTACAGAAAGAAAGTGGCAGAGATAAGAAAAGAGAATCAAAGTTCTCAGGCATCCTCTTCGGAGAAAGGTAACTAAACCTGGGGATTTGGAAAACAGTCCATGAATTAAGAAATTACTGGTACTTTCTTCACTCTCTCTGTAACTGCTTGTTTGGTCTGTTTTGGAAACAATGAGGGGGATATTTGACTGACAGCCTATTACCTGTAAATAAAATTTCAAAAAGTCACAAATGGAAGGAGATTTTGATACTACAGCATCAAACTCTGGTGCCCAAGTGATGGTTTCTCATGCCTGCGGGGCACTATGTCATGCTCGTGACAGGCTCATGAAAGAAGTTTTCCTGGTTTGCTCCAGAATACTTAAAGTGAACCAAAAGGAAAACATTTCTCCATTGTCTGTGTGTTGGAAAATACACTTCTGTCCTGAAAATACATTGAGTAAAAGTGCTTTTTCTTGATATTCTAATTTGATTTGTTATCAATGAAAACTGTCCTGCTCTTTTCCTGAAGCTTTTGTCTTCTCTTTGGGGCTGTTTTGAGTCCTGCTTTGCACAATCCTTGCAAATGGAGAGGCTCTGGCTTCAGGTGGAGAAGCAGCAGAAGTGGCTGATTTGCCAGAAAATGGGTATTGTGGGTGCAGACCCTGGTTAACTGTGTTAGACAGAAGGCTGTTTTTGAAGACGGTCCTGCTGATAAGTTCACAGCTCAAACAACTTGTGATTCAACAGACTGCAGGCTGAAGGAGCTTGTTACCACTATCAGCCGACTGTTAAAACAGTTGGGAAGCTAAGCAGTATTATCCATACTTTACAGGTGTGGAGTTTTGAAGCAAGGAAAGGGTATGACTTGTTTATAATCATGTCTTCTGCCTCCTGCTCCTGTGCCAGGACGCTGGCGTACTGGGAGAGTGCAGGTAGCAAATGTCCTATAAGGCTGTCTGGTTAAATAACGTATTTTCCCGGCTCCTTATAAGCATGAAATATGCTGGAAAACTTAATGTCTCTGTGTCTTTGGACTAAGGCTGCAGTAACCACTGCTTCCAGGTGAGGATTGGGGTTATTCCAGGGAGAGTTTTTGTCCTACAACCCCTCCCTGAAAAGGTGGGGAGGTGCCTAGTGGCAAGTAGGCACAGCTGGGATTACTGTACATTATTAGTTTGTCACTTTTTCTACATCCTTCCCATTTTTGCCTCTAATTTCAGCGGCAAATATTTTAAACCAGAGGCCACTGAGCGTACTAAGGGGTAATGCTATGGAAAACAGCCTAACACGAGGAAGAAGCAGGCTTCCTCTGCAAGCAGAGAGAAATGTGAAGAGAGAGAACTGATTACAAAGTTGTGTTACTTTATGCAATATCATGTTCTTATGATTATAAGTGCTTTGACTGTTTATGTCTAATGTTTCTAAAAAATAAACTCGACCTTTTGCCCTTATTCTGCTCTTGGGGTTCTTAGAACAGATAGGCTATGACTGTTGCTTGTGTGAGTTGGGCCCAGTACTGACAGCCTGCTTAAAGTTTCACCCCCAGAGGATGAAGAGACAAAGAACTTTGCTGAGAAACTGGCCAGGTTCATAGCAGCCGGGGGCCCTGAGGTGGAAGCTATTGCCTTGCAGAACAACCGAGAGAACCATGCTTTCAGGTAAGGAGGAAACCTGCAGCTGAGTGTCATGGGAGGGAGCTTGTTGGGCATTTTAGTTAAAGAAAATAATAGGCAAACTCGTAAATCTGAACTCATCTTGCAATTCCAAGCTGTTTCTGAGGTAGCTTTGCAAGCATTAATTAAGCTTCATGGCTTGAACCAAGATGCAGGGAGAGGAAGCGATTTATCCAGAGCCACAAAGAAAATCAGTGTCAGAGCTAGGAAGAGAACAAAGAAATGTGCAGTTAACCCTGCTGAACTAACTTGTAAGCATACGGTGTGTGTTTGAAGCTGAGTTCTTTTGGATTATGTTCCTCTCTTGTCCAGCTCTCCCCGTTGTTACTTTGAAATTGCATCTGCCTGTCTTGATATCCCTCTCTCACAACTGTTTCCATGGTACATTTTTATGCTGCTTGTCACATAAAAGGTTCCTGCGTGATCATGTTACCCTTTCTGGATCACCCTGCTACAGGCCTTTTTTATTTACAAAGAATGAATACATATTTATTTAAACTTTTACTACAAAACATAGAGCTGGAGGCCTGTCCTGCAATCAGCTGATTAGTTTGTTACCTCTGCATTGCCCTTTTAATTTGCTTTTTGTCTACTTGGTTTTGATCTCTTAAGCCGGAGTCTTGCCTGGATGTCTCTGTGAGCTCAGAACAGGGTCAGGGGCACTTTTCCATTTATCTGTTTCACAKCCAAATGTGTCATTCATTATTCATAGCAGCCGGTGGCTTGTGCCAGGAGTGTTATTTGCTCCACAGCACAACCACTTTGCAAGGTGGTAGAGCCACCATTCTTGTCACTCTTTAGTGTAAGATGCTCCTTTTGGCTGGCCAAGCCCAAGGCCTTGTGAAAGAGTGGTGGTTTTAAAAGAGGCTGGCTGGTGTTTCACCTCCAGTGACAGCTTTCCCTAAAATGAATTTACACTTTCCTTCTCACCTCCTTTCTRTTGCAATGTACGAGTATAATTCCAACCTTTATGCTGCTCCCTGCARCTGATGTTTGCTGTGGGCCCCCAGCCACCACTCATTCTCACTTCTGCTGTCTGATYAAGTCCCTGGGCTGCTCTTTGTGCAGCATCTTCACTAACATGCAGGTAGGGCCTGTAGCTTTAGCTCCCCCTTTGGAAAAATCTTTCTCAGCCTGYTGGAGGTGGATTGTTCTCTTTAGTGCTTGCTGACAGCTGTTTAATGTCTCCCTTTGGTCTCATGCATGTTTCATTTTTCTGCTTTTACAAACTATTTGGTGTGTTCTCTGGGAGGGAAGTGAGACTGGCAAGCCTTATTTYTGTTGGCATTTTACTGGCTTTCTTCTAGTCCTCTGGGTTAATGGCCTTGTATTGTGAATAATATTAGAGGTGCTAAGATTTGAGCTGCTTTGTTCTTCAAGCATTTCCTTAAAACCACACSGGTGGTCCCTCTTGAGCACCAGCAGGTGAAACACCACCTCCCCTGCTTGSATTTCCTCAGGCTTTCCCTGGGGARGGTCCAGTCTTGCCCTGGGCTCAACCCCGAAGCAGTTCCCATCAGGACGATGCTTGTGCCYCGTGTGGCATCACCGCAGCACTAGATTTACCAGACAACAGCCCTTTCTGCTGTCTCAGGAGAGCATCTGCTCGCACAGAAGAGACTGTATTGAGTATCAAACTGCTCCTCTAAAAATGGAAGCTGTAGAGGAGCTATGGAGAGACAAAGTTTCTGCTTATTTAAATGTGGGGGAGAAGACCCCCCAGATACACTCATGTTTATTACAAATGTGTTTTTCTATATAGCCTCCAGACTAGGGATTGCTCATGGTCTCAGTACAGATACTAAGAAYTTTTATTTCAACTTAAAGGTCAGAAATGCTTATTCCTGGAAGGGGCAGCGACTGAGGCAATGTTTGTTTTGAGGCAGCAGGAAGGAATCGTGGCAAAAAGAAACGGGCTGCTCGTGTCTTGGCATCTAGGCCGAGCAGAGGGTGGGAGCGGTTTCTTTCGGCAGTGGTTTGGCTTTTTCTTTGGTAAGACCTGAGCAGGGAGTTGTTTTTGTCTTTTTAGCTGGAACCTGGTGTGTTGTGAAGCCCCTGCAGTCTTTCCAAAACTCTTCTGGGAAGCAAGTGTATTCCGTGGGAGGGCCCTGCGTTTCCACGGATGTAACATGATCCTTTTTAGTAAAGTGTGTTTATTTGGTACCATAAATAGCTGTGGCTCACTTGTGAATGGGAAATGCACTTCCTGGTCCTAAAGGCTTGCAGCTTTGCACAGGCAGCCCGGGCCCTGCATTGCACAGACATATACACAGGATGGTGCTGGAGAGTAAGGAAGTGTGTGGGAAGGCTGGTTTTACCAGCACAAATTGTGGGAAAGGGGAAGCCCTGACCAATTTGTGGTACAGGTCAACCTGTGGATATGACTTGCATGCAAAACCTTTTTCTTTTTACAAAACCTTTTGCTTTTTTTTYTTTCCCATTAGGTTTTTATATGAGCCAAACAGCAAAGGCTACAAGTATTACCGCCAGAAACTGGAGGAATTCCGTAAGGCCAAAGCCAGCTCTGCGTGTGCCCCCGCCTTGCACACAGAACCCAGTCTCAAAAGGAAGAACATTCCGGAGGCGACGCCGTCTCCGTCGTGCTTATCCTCCTTGCCCCCGTCCTTGCCCTCCCCTTTGCCCTCACCATCGCCGTCTTCGTCCAACGAGACAGCTACAACAGCCCCTACTACAACAGAAGCAACGACGACAACAACAACAGCTRCAGCCACTGCTGCTGCAACAGCTACTGCTGCCGGCGCTACCAAAAAGAAGCGGAAGAGCAGGTGGGGGCCTGAGGAAGACAAGGTKGACTTGCCTCTCCCACAGCTCGTCCAGCAGCTGGATGGTTCTCCTTCCCCACTTTCAGGTTAGTAGGTCTCTATATTAGTCTTGATTTGCTGTTTCCCTTTGGGAGTGTGCTCTGCCTTGGCCCAGCTGGCTGTTCTAACAGGAAACCCAGCCTATCTCTTGTATCTCCTCAGTCACCAGTCCCCTATCTTCAAGCCTGCTCTAGCGGCTAACTCTCCCGGGRTGGAAACCCCGATAAACCACTTTATCTTGCTGACACCAGGGACTGGATCTTATCGCTCTACAGCTATCTCCAAAAACCTGCTGGACTCTAGCTCATTACGGCCTCAGCTTCCATGCTATTTGGGGCTATTTTACTTCGGAAAGAGAGACTGTCAGAAAACAAATTTCAGAGGCTGACTCTGCTTATTCCCAATGGCAGAGTAAAATCCCCGGGCAGTGTTTCTGTCTTACTGAGCAGGAGGCTAGACAGGAATAGCTGTTTCCCTAGCTGCTGGGGRGACGCAAGTCTAACTTCTGGTGCAAATTTATACCATTTTCAGTTCATTTGATTACTATCAGGGTTCACAGTGCTTGCCAGCATTGAGACTGATACCCCTGTTGCTTCTCCTGCCAAGGTCACCCAAGGGGTGCAGCTCAAATTGAGTACTAAAAGATAATTCTTCYGTTTTGGGCATTTCTAGTTGAGGCTGAACGCTTGTGGCCCATCAGTGCATGTGCAGGTGGGTAATTAGGTAGACAGAGAGGCACATCTTGGATGACTCAGTTTTGGTACCAGGTAAGTGCAGACATTTAAGAGGGCGTATGTGATTCCTTTGCCCAATTAGTGTGGTATGGGGAAAGGATGTGAAAGGGAGAAAGAAGAGGCACAAGATAAGGTCGTTGGTGTTGGCAAACTGAGAGAATTAATGGTATGAGGCCGGAGTTGCAGGAAAAGTAATAAATACCTGTCTCAGTAAGGACTTCTTTCAAAAAGCAATTGCAGAACAGACAAAGTGAAGCGAATAATGTAAAAGAAGATATCATTTTCTGAGCTGCAGGGTGGTGAGATCACGGATAATTCTCAACTTGTAGTCGGTCTGTAGGATTCCTTGCTCCAAGGCGGTGGGTTTTTGGGCTTGAGAGGAGATAATTGCTCAAACATTGACAGCTTTGTTAAGCTTGGGTAAGATGTAGGGTTGTCTGTCTGTGCTGTGGTGTCTGATTGCTGCAGAGGTCAGGAGGGAAAGACTCTGTCGCCTCGTGCAGCACTTCAAATGTAGATGAAGGGAAGCTTGCATGTAATTTTGAAGCTCTGTTTACTGATTKCAGCCCTATATAGAAATCTTCTGCCTGTATCTCACTTGTACAAGACGATACCAACCTGGAGGCCCCATTCATTTGACCCTGAACTGCTGCTTCTAGTAAACCAGATGCAAACAGCTCCCTCATCTTGTGCATCTAGAGTTTTAACTTCTTTCTTTCCTCCCTGCAGACCATGATGAAGCTTAAATGCTGAAGCTGGGCAGGCACTAGCAAAACAAGTATAAAATTTCGTCTTAATGCCTCCCGCTGCAGTGGGGCTTGCGAGGCTCTCCGTGTGCCCATTCCTGCATGTTTCCTGCTGAAGTCTCCCCTGGCTCTTCCTTTTGGCCTCCCCTTAATTAGAAGGGACATGCTAGCTGTGCTCGTGCTCGCTTTCTGCATGGCTTTGTGTCAGGTAGAAGAAAAGGACAGCAAATAATTCTCCAGGCATATCAAATCAACCATTAATGCATGGTTAGTACTCTGCAGGGAGCAGGTTTCTTTTATTAGTTCAGATCAACTAATCCCTTTCTAGAATTAACATCTCTGACAGGTAAACAGAATACCAAATTACACCCCTGGTCCTGTGGAAGGTTAGAGTTGCACACTGTGCTTTCATTCCTAAATATCTGAGTTTTAGCTCTGTGTTGTTATCAGTTGTTTTGGATTTAGCGGAGGACTGCTCTCCTTTTTATTTCTTTCTTTATTTTCTCTGTCTATACACAGTAAGAAATCAGTATCATAGAAAAGAGAAAGCGTTGCCCTTTTGGACATAAACAGGGATATTGTGATTAGTGAGTTCTAGGGAGTAATGGAAGATGAAGAGAAATCATTAAAATATCCTGGAATTTAATCCTGGATTGGACTGGGTCTGATTTGTTTTGCCTGAATATGATCTTCAGACCATAAAGCAAAAAAAAATCAGACTCTTCTGCACTGAAATTTCTCCTGCTGTCCTCAAAGGACATTCACTCCTGTTATAAGAAGCTCCTCTTTGGGAATGTGGGTAAAGGATAAACCTTCACATAGTCTTTTGCCAATGCTGCAGATAGACTGCRCCATTAACCCTGTAAGCAAAGCTGATGTCATTCARGAAAAAAATTTATAGTGCAAAACAACAGCTTTTTCCCAAGCCTGCTGAACGAGAGACTCAGAAGCAAATCTTACCTTTTGCCTAGTGTTTGCCTGCTGCTACCCTCATGTAATGAACTTAAATCTCATTATCCATTTTGATGTAAATACCTTGACTGGTCTTATTTGTGAGGAGACTTTGCATTTCAGATGTGGCTTGGGGAGGAGCTTTGCTCTTTCTCTCAATTTTTCCTGGATATATTGTCCGTTTGGCCAAGACTGCGCCATACCCCCCCAGCTCCCTTTCCACGGTGGCTGTTCCAACATTGTCATGAAGTCTGCAGGTTCYGCGCTATTGAGCCAAGCCAGATGTCATGTTAGTGCAGTGGGCTCCCTTTTCTGGGGGGCAGAAGATACTGGGAGGTAAAAGATGCTGCCCCATCCTTCCCTTTCTCCTTTAAGCTTGTTCGATCTGCTGGCAAGGCACCAGGCAGCGGGGCCTCTCGAGCCAGGCTGGCTCTGTGCCGGGGCGTTTATGCAATTCAGAAGGAAGCCACGTTGCTGCTGACCTCCGTGAAGGGCAGAGTCTTCCTCGGTGCGTTCAAGAAGGCTTTTCCTGCCCTGAGGAGGGAGGTGGATCTGTGGCTAGGGCTGGCGCTCAGGTGCCCCAGTCCTGCCTAACTTAGGGTGAGATTTGCTGCAAGGTTTACACGGAGCAGCTCTAGCATATTCATTAAAACCATCTCCAGATCTCCCTTTTCTCTATGGGGCAGAAATGAGGCTTTTTACCAATAACGCATRGATTAATTTTTCTGTTTGCTGTTGCTCCTTGGGAGCTGGGAGCGCGTTTCCCAGCGCCAGGCCGGGCTGGGRGTTGCTGCCCTTCCCTCGGAAACCCTCTTGCAGTGTTTTACATAACTGCTCCTGCAGAGCTGGCTCCCGGGGAATGAGCCGGGGCTCGGGCCGCGTGCAGGAGGGAGGATGCACTCTGTTGTGCCCTCCTTGGGAGGCCGGAGCTTTTCAGGAATGCTGCTTTCCCATCGCAACGTGCGTGGCCAAGAGCAGTGCTCAGATCAACTGCCCGGGGGAGAGGACAACCCCTGGGGCATAATTAGCATGCTGGGTAGACATTTGGTGTCATGAACAATGATCCTATTGTTATTGGGCTTCATAATTAATAGAGGATGAATAATTAATGAAGCATCATTTAGCTGTAGTCTGGACTCACATGCAGATGGAGGCTTTGGCAGTCGTTAGGAAGAAATCGCTTTCTTTGTATTGAAAAATGCAACACACTTTCAAGTGCAGTTGTGTCTTCTTTCAATCTCTTAAATATTTAGCTGCTGGGATGCTAATGCTGAGGTGCTTTAGAAGGGAGCTGGCGTCCTGCTGGATATGTATGAGATGCGTTTGCAAGGCAGTCTGCATGGCAATTCTCTCTATTTCTAGCTCCAGCGATGTTGGCATTACTTTTTTTTTCCATGATGTACCAATTAAAAATAGGCAGTTTTCATTTTTTTGACACTGACCCTAGAATGTGAAGTGTCTTCGTTTCAAACCAGCAGGTTCCCTGCCCAGATAATCTTAATATCTGCTTTCAGGCCTTATCTGATACAGCAGCAAAATCATTCCACAGGAGGCGCTTCCAAATGGGGCCCAGCAGAAATTGGAAGATGCATCAGTGGGATTCTCAAGCTGAGACTTAAAACTCTCCCGCTTTGAAAGTGGAGGCCAACGTCCCTGGCAATGTTGTTCTTGAGCCTGTAGACTAGAAATTAAAATCTCCTTGGGGAATGGTAACTTCCAAAGAAGCATAATGTGCATGTCTTTAATGTGGTCATTTGCTTTTCATTTTGAATGAAGTTGCTGTTTATGTAGTAATCAGCATACGCTTACGTGCAGAGATTGGACAATATGCTGACAGGCTCAGATAAGCTCCTGACTCAAGTCTGAATAATTAAGTGTCACTCTTTGCAATGAGTGGGGTCTGTAAGGGAGCCTCGTGAGGAGAATTAAGATGAGAGCAGAAATGATTTTTAGAGCGTGGATGGTGCAGCAGATTGTCGTGCAGCCTGACCTCAAAGGACACGAGATACGGGTTGAGTCCGCTAAGAGCATGAGCACAACCTTGGACCACAGTGAGGGGATGGTCTGAGCTCGTTGCTGGTGGGTTTCCTGCCTYTGTCATTCCCTGGATTCTACCGGGTTCCTGTTTTTCAGTTAAATGACTAAATGCTGGACCTGCGAAATGAGTGGGAAACTTCATGAGGGGATTTGTCATGGGGGTTCTCTGCTATCAACACCTGTCTCAGGTTTTTGAAAATCTTTTAACATGTGTTTATTTCAGTTCAGGACCTCAAGGGTCTCGGTTATGAAAAAGGGAAACCGGTTGGTTTAGTGGGTGTGACGGAGCTCTCTGAGGCCCAGAAGAAGCAGCTGAAGGAGCAGCAGGAGGTAAAGTCCTGAAGTGATCTCCAAATTCATTTGTGCACTAACATATTACAGTGCAGCATGGCCGAGTTAGACGGGAAAACAGAGAGGGAAATGGGAAAGAYGTTTTCCCAATGGCCCAACAAATAAATCTCTGGGATTTGTGCTGAACGCCTAAGAATCGTGTGATGCTGCAGTCAGCAGAAATAGCTTACTGGGCGTTGGGGGATGTGCATTACACCAGCCAATTGCTGTCCTCCCAACCTGAAACCTCAGATCTCTAAGGTGTGTTGTCACATCCAAAGCAGCACACGAGCAGCTGCAGAGGTGGGGAGAGGGTGGGTGGATGTGTGCAAGCTGTGGTGGAAAGAGCAGAACTGGCTTTTGCTGGGACGCGAGGGCAGTTACGAAGTGGAGAACTCCACGGGGCTCTGGCAGACCCTGCTGCCTGTAAACTGGCTGTCTTGCCTACGTGGGCTCTTGCTCCTCTCTCCTTAGATGCAGCAGATGTACGATATGATCATGAAACACAAGCGAGCTATGCAGGAGATGCAGATGATGTGGGAGAAGGCGATTCAGCAGCACCAGCACGGCTATGACAGCGACGAAGAGGTGGACAACGAGCTGGGCACGTGGGAGCATCAGCTGCGACGCATGGAGATGGACAAGACACGAGGTGTGTGGAGAGCTGCTGGGCAAGCATCTCCCTCTGCTCTTGTGCAAAGGCCTCCAGAGGGAGGCATCGGAGATCACGCTGTCACAGAGGGAGTTAGAGTCTCCCGATCCTTGCTCTGTGCCCTGGTTTCCTTGCTTGTAAAGTGGTGATATCCGTGCATTCCCGTGAGGCACTTTACCCTTCACAAAGCTCGCCGAAATTTCCCATGGAAGAACACTGCAGAATTGCTGTTTTCTCTGCTCCGTGTCTTGTGCAGAGTGGGCCGAGCAGCTGACCCAGATGGGCAGAGGGAAGCATTTCATCGGAGACTTTCTTCCCCCTGATGAGCTGGAGAAATTCATGGAGACGTTCAAGGCACTGAAGGTGAAATAGCAGAAATGTCTTGGGGTGCAGYGGCAATGCTTCAGAGTGGTCCGCTAGCAAGGAGGGAAACACCTCGTGCATCTTCAGCCCCTTCCATGGTAGTCAGTCCCCCTGGAGCCTTGAGCTGCTGCTGGATGCCCTGGCAGTGGGAGCTGTTAGCTCTCCTGTAGGAAGGAAGGGGTTATTTTTCTGCTCTTTACAGAGAAACAGCTACAGCAAATTAGAGAACAGACTATTGGGACAGGATTTCGGAGGGGGTAGCTGAAATTATAGACAAACCTCTCAGACTACCCACCATGTGTCTGCTGTTGTGGTTTAGGATAAGTGGTTGTTACTGCCAAGCAAGGAAATTTTTGAATTTTTATCCAGACAATTGCAGTAAAGTATAAAGCCTACAAAAAGCTTATGCAAAGCTCTTCATACCTGCCAACTCTTGCTAAACAGCAGAATTTCTTGATGCTGGCATCCCTGATAATGTTTTCTTGTAACCAGCATGGGGTCTGAGGTTCCCTGGAGATCCTGGTTTAAATAAGAATTGTAGCTGAAGCCTGAGCAACTTTAAAGTCAGGAGCTGAATTATTTCTCAGCTTAATCTCATGGTAACATTCCCGGCTTCTTGCAGGTTTTTATAAGGCTTGTGTGGCTGTGCAGCACTTCAGCACTTACCTGGTTTCTACTCTGTGGTGCAGGAATGGAATCCTAAGAAATCCTGCTAGTTACTAACTCTTTGCCAGGCACCTCCAGGAGCTGAAGTTGATTCTTCCTCCCCTTCTCTSACCCACAGAGATCACTTGTTTGTATGTATTTATGTATGAATGTACACAAATTAATCAGCAGTGCCTTTTGTCTGTGTGCAGGAAGGCCGTGAGCCAGATTATTCCGAATATAAAGAATTCAAACTGACCGTGGAAAACATAGGTTATCAAATGCTGATGAAGATGGGCTGGAAGGAAGGCGAGGGACTTGGCTCGGATGGACAGGGGATTAAAAATCCAGTCAGCAAGTAAGCAGAGTTCTTCCACTATTGATCTTTCTTTTCCTCTTACRCCAAAAATTGATGTTCTTTGGAAGGAGCTGCAATGAATGTGACTGCAATTCATCACTTGAGCAGAATATAGAATCTTCACAGCAAAGGAGAAAAATCATTTCTGGTTTTGTTTGTTCCCCCCACCTGCTCCCCAAAAGAACCAGGTTTGTTCCTTTGCTGCAGTGTGAGCCAGGAGTATTGSTTCTACTTTCAATTTTCGTGGTGTGTTCTCCCATTCTGGAGTAAAGGCGTGGGAGGAGGCACTTTCTTTAGCGCTCTGTCCGCTTCCAATCAGTGAGGTACAAATCAGCGCGTCTGGCTGCCAAAGATCAACCCGCCGGTCAGAGCGTGGCTCGGCAGGGAGCCCTCCAAAGCAGGGCTCGCTCCCTGTCCCCCAGGTAAAAGGTTAAGCAAATACACGCTGACATTACTCCTTCCATCTAACAACAGCGAGTGTCCCTGGTTCGGAAGGGGAAGGTAGAGCCGTGGCCACAGTATAAACCCCTCACTATCAGCTGGCTCTGCTGATTGCTGATGGTCCCCAGTGCCCCGTGGTTGTTGTTTTGAGACAGCAGGTATTTCTGGTCAAGGGGAGGCTGAGCTGGCCCATTCCTGAGCAACCTCATCCCTTCTTTCCCAACAGGGGAACCACCGCCGTGGATGGAGCTGGTTTTGGCATCGATCGGCCGGCCGAGCTCACCAAGGAGGACGATGAGTACGAGGCATTCCGGAAGAGAATGATGCTGGCCTACCGCTTCCGACCAAATCCCTTGGTACGGCGAGCCCTAAACCAGGCAAAGGCCTTCGAGACTCCCATGCGTCCCTTCCAAGGCATGGGAGCCTTTCTAGTTCAATTCCCTTTTCCTCTTAAATGCCCTGGAATCCTAGCGTGGTTTGTTTGGAATAAGCATTTTCCTGATTGCAAAAGGGTTGCAAGTTTGGGGTAGCCTGTGTTATGTTCAGTATGCCAACAGGCCTAGAAAGCAACATTTGTCATTTTTGGTGGGAAATCTCAGCTTTCGGTGTCAAAATGTTGCATTTTATTAGTGTTCTCGGGTAGTMGTTAAGCTGAAATGCTCATTGCTCTGTGAAAATAGCCATTTTGATGAATTTTTCTCTTGTTATTCCCTCCCACAGAACAATCCACGACGACCTTACTACTGATGGAGCTTTTGGGGCAGCCTCTTTCCAAAACCGTTGTAACTTTACTGTGAAATGTTATGAAATTGCGTTGTTATTCCCTTATTTACTAATATTGTAAAGCTTACTGAAGTCCCAGTACCATCTCTCACGTGGAGGAGAGGCCTCGAGCCCACTCGCAGCGCACTCGAGTGTCATGACAACGGTGCTGGAACAAGGTGTTGAGCAGAGAGCAGGTGATGGGGGGTTTATTCGGTGCCCTGCTGAGCAGAAGGGTCGCACCAAAGATRCAACAGGGATAGTTCAGGGACTCCCTTTGTTTCTAGCTCAGTGCCACGTTGTTTATCAAGGAATGCGTGTTTTTTTTTCTGCGCAGAATCCATCTGTTGAGGCACACAGCTCGAGCTGCCCCCTCTTCGTCTTTTATTGCAAATACAACAAGGGCCTGGCCCCGGCCTGACTTTGGGGGCTCCTGCTGAGGGTTTCTTCCTTGAAGAGCTGGGTGCTGATGCTGACGTGAAGTCTCTAGTGTGGCCTGCAGCTGCCATGGCAAAACCAGTGCCTCGTTGTATTTACCTCTGCCGTGCGTGGAGCGAGGCGCCCAGGGGAGGCTCCTTCAGCTTCGGGGGCAGCAGCCTCCTCCATTTCCTCCATCCTTGAACACTAAGTCCACCCACAGCTTCCTAGCRAAGTGAGAGACTTGCTAGCACTTCCCAGGGATGTGGGTGAGGAAGAACCAAGCCTTCGGMCACAGTTTATCTAAGGCAATTTGGACTCTGTTGTCATATGAAACACCTCAGCAACTATACATTTTCTTCATCCACTCTGTAAATAAAATAAAAATYATCTGTTCCTTTTTTTTTTTTTTTCCTGAATCGTTGGAAAAAGTGATCTTGCCATAGGATTTCATAGGCCGGGATCTGTGCTCCAGTTTTCTTTCCTTACCATCATTTTGAAGCATTTTTCTTTTGTGTGTGAGTGTATATATGTGTGTGTATGTGTGTTTGTTTTGTTTTTTACAGGTGTTTTTCTTCTGTCCATGTCCCAGAATCCTGCCCCTTGACCCGTGTTTCTTTTTTGTGAACTTTTTTTAATGACATAGAGTAAATGGCTTTGCTTTCAATAAAAATACTCCAAACAGTTCAGGAAGGATCAATTCAGTACGGGTCGTTTTGAGAAAAGCAGGATGCAGAGGTGGAGCCCGGCGCCCTCATGGGGAAATGCTTCACCCAGGGTCCTCGTGAGCCCCTTCCCTTTGCACGGTGCGTGCGGTCGTGCTCCTCGCTGCCGCTCTGTTTTCCTTGCGCTCTCCTATAAATAAGGATGCTCTGTGAGGCAAGAGCGACCTGCTTGCGGTGTGAGCTGCCTCCCCTTCCTCCCCTGCTCTTCCTCCTCCTCCTCCCCTGCTCTTCCTCCTCCTCCTCCTCCTCCCCTGCTCTTCCTCCTCCTCCTCCCCTGCTCTTCCTCCCCTTCCTCCCCTGCTCTTCCTCCCCTGCTCTTCCTCCCCTTCCTCCTCTACAAAGCGGTGCTGGTGCTTTCAGAAGAGCCTTCGGAAGCTGCATCCCGCTGGCTGCTGCAGTCACTGAAGTTGGGCTATTTTGGATCAAAGAGTAAATCCCTTATTCCTGGCGGGAATGCGGCCTGCCAGCTGCACGGAGGTGAGCGCGATGGAGCACAAGCGTCCTTCCCACCCACGATGGCGATGCTGCGGTGGGGACCGGAGCACCCAAACGGTCCTACAGCAGCAGCACCCGRGGGCTGGGAGAGCCCCGATCCCTTCCCGCGTGGAAAAGGGTTGTTAATGGGTGTCTATTGGTGCCTATTCCGGCTCCTGCCGAGGGACAGGGGCCTCCGCTGTGGAAGAGCGCAGCCGGAGCCGCGGGCAAAGTGCAGGGCGGACTCCGGAGCTGCGCGGGAGCGCGCGGGCGCCGGGTGAAAGGTGGGAGCGGCGCCCAGAGCCCTCCCAGGGCAGGCTTCTCCCTGCGCCACCATGGCGGGAATATTCAGGTGGGAGGTGAGGCTCGGGTGCAGGAGGACAGGGTGGCTCCAGCTCCCCGCCGCGCTCGGACACCTCGGAGCGCTTCCCACTCCCTGTTTCAGGCCTGCATGAAGCGGTGCCTTTCACCGGCTCCCCCCTTTTCCTGCAGGTCGGAAGCACCGTGTCCTCTCGGCTCTTCCTGGTACTTAACAGCTTCCACACCGAATTAGGGGGAAATCAAAGCCAGCGCTCGGCTCCTGCCCGGTTCCGTCCTCGCCACGGCAGCTCCCGCTCCTTCCCGCGCGGCTCCCGGCGCGTTATCCGCCTGCGGCGCTCTGCGGCGCTGCCTGTTTGCTCGGCACGGGCCGAAGTCCGCGGGTGACGACGGCGGCTCCGGACGGCGGCGGCTCTGGGATGCGGCTCCCGGCCGTGCCGGGCGCGCTCGCCCTCGCCCTGCTCGCCTTCCCCGTGGCCTTCGGCGGCAACAGCCTGGCCGCCCTGGCAGAGTGAGTGTCGGGACGGGATGGGACGGGATGGGACACAGTGCTCGGCACCGCGGGAAGCACTTTGTGCCGGGCAGCTCGGAAGGAATGAAGGCTCTGGCAATGGAGAAGATCTCCGGGGTGGCCTTTTCGCCTTCCCAATCCCGCCATSCTGCCTCGAGGCTGCTCCTCTTTCATTGCCCCGTGCAGCGCTGGCGATGCCGATGCCGGCTGTGCCCTCTATATCCCCTTAGTGCTCAGTTCTGCCTTGCTTTACCGCTGAACACACTAAGGTATTTTAGCCAGTTTTCCCTGCCTTCCTTGCAGAATTAGTGCATTCCCGGCCTCCTGATAACTTCCCTCACAGGACTCCTGATTTTCCRTGGCTTTTCCCCCGGTCCCTTCCCTTGGGTCTGCCCAGCCCTCCAACAGCCCTTAGGCTCTGCTCAGCTCCCAGCAGGAAGTTCCGCACTTGAGCCATGAATCCGTTGTTCTCCAGGAGCAATTAGTCACGTAGCAATTAATTATCCAGTAGTAATAATGTGTTTTTACTGTAGCAGCTCAGAATATGATTTATTTTGCTTTATTTTGTTTTGTTTTTCCCTATAATCCCTTTCTAATCGCTTTACACGCCGATATGATATATATTTACATGGTGTCCTATGGAAGTGCATCAGCCAAGAGCCACTCGCTCCTCAGAAGGGAGAGCCAAATCCTCGTGATTCCACCTAAAAATGCCCATTAGGGAGTAGGTCCCTGACGGGGGCTCGTGGCTGTCCCCCTCGCAGCAGCCCCGCGGCGCTGGTGCTCGTGGGGACCCTCGTGCTCGCTGGCCTCGTCTCCGTCGCCTTCGTGAGCGGAGGGAGCCGCTTGCAGGACCCGCTGTTCTGCGGTGAGCGCCGCTCGGGACCGGGATGCTCCATGTGTCGGGATGCTCTGTGTGCCRGGAYGCTCCATGTGCCGGGRTGCTCCATGTGCCGGGATGCTCTGTGCACTGGGATGCTCTGCGTGCCGAGATGCTCCATGTGCTGAGATGCTCTGTGTGTCGGGGTGCTCCATGTGTTGGGATGCTCCCCATGTAGGGATGCTCTGTGCGCCAGGATGCTCCATGCGCCGGGATGCTCCACGTGCTGGGATGCTCCCCGTGTCGGGATGCTCTGTGCACCAAGATGCTCTGCATGTCGGGATGCTCCGTGTGTTGGGATGCTCTGTGTGTTGGGATGCTCCGTGTGTTGGGATGCTCCACGTGCCAGGAGCAGAGCGGGGGTTCTCGGGATGCTGTACGGAGCTGAGCGGCTCCCGCGGCTCCCGCCCGCAGTGTTCGTGGTCTTCTCCTTCGCCTCGGCCGTGGACCTCGTGGTCGCGCTGGAGGAGGACGGCTTCATCTCCGGCTTCGCCGAGCTCTACGTGAGGGAGGTACCCAGGCCCGGCCGGCGCCGCGGGGCCCTGCTCAGCCACGGCTGCAGCTCCCACGCCCTGGAGCAGCCGCTGACTCCATCCCTCCTTCCCTCCATCCTTCCGTCCCTTCATCCCTCCATTTCTCCATCTCCCCTTCTCTCCAACCCTCCATTCCCCTATCTCTCCATTCATCCCTCCATCCCTCCTTCTCCTTGCATCCCTCTATCCTTCTGTCCCTCCATTTCTCCATCTCCCYTTCATTCCTCCTTCCCTCTGTCCCTCCATCCTTCCATCCCTCTGTCTCTCCTTCTCCTCCCATACTTCTTCCCTTCCATTCCTCCTTTCCTTCCCCTTCCATTCCTCCTTTCCTTCCCCTTCCATCCCTTCTTTCCCTCTTGCACCCCTCCTTTCCCTCCCCTTCCACCCCTCCTTTCGCACCCCTCCTTTCCCTCTCGCCCCGTCCTTTCCCCGCTCGGGGGCGCGGGCCGGGAAGCGGCTCTCCCGGGAGCCGCAGCCGCCGCCGTTCCCGCAGGGCGAGCCCTTCCTGCGCACGGCGCACGGCATCCTCCTCTGCTACTGGGACGGCACCGTGCACCACGGCCTCTACCTGGCCATGCTCGCGGCCATGAGCCAGAGGTGAGGGCGGCGCGGCGGCCGCGGCGCGGGGACGCGGGAGCCCCGCTCTCACCCCCTGTCCCCGCAGGAGGAGCTACAGGAGCCTGGGGCTCTTCTGGCTGGGCTCCGTGATGATGAGCATCGTGGTCTTCCTCCTCGGCAACCTGCTAGGTGCGGCGGTGGGGGGCGGCGCGGCGGGGGGCCCCGGGGCTGCTCCGTGGTGCCGAGCGCGGCGGCTGCTCCCGCAGGGAAGCACAGCTCGGAGCTGAGCGCCGCCGTCCTGCTCAACGTGCCCTACGTGGCGCTGCCCGTCTGGGCCGGCCGGCGGCTCTTCCAGCAGCCGCGGGCGCTGCCGGGGCTCACGGCCGACCAGGTGTGACACACACGGGATGCAGGACACGGGACGTGGGATACGGGACATGGGACACGGGACACAGGACATGGGATGCGGGACACGGAATGCGAGACATGAGACATGGGGCATGGGATGCAGGACACAAGACACGGGAAGTGGCATGCGGGACATGGGACACGGGACTTTGGACATGAGACACAGGACACAGGACACAGGACATGGGATGCGGGACACGGAATGTGGGACAGGAGACATGGGACACGGGACGTGGGATGCAGGACATGGGACACAGGATGCGGGACAGAGGAAATGGGACACGGGACACGGGGATATGCGGGACACGGGACACAGGACACGGGATGAGGGACGCGGGACACGGGCCCGGGTCTCGGCGCTCCGGCTGCCCGCGCGGGGAAGCGGCAGCGGGGGCGGCTCTGCCCCGGCGCAGGTGGCCGAGGAGCAGCGCAAGGGGCTGCACCGGCGGCCGCAGGACGCGGCGCTGATCGTCCTGCTGCTCCTGGCCGCCCTGTTCACCTTCTTCAGAGGCATGGTGAGCGCTGGGGATGCCGAGGGGACGCTCAGGGTGCCCGTGTCCCCCCCGCCACCGCCGCGCTCTGCCCGCCCAGGTGGTCCTGGACTGTCCAGCCGACTCCTGCTTCGAGTACATCTACCAGCGCGAGCCGTACCTGCGCGACCCCGTCGCCTACCCCAAAGTGCAGGTGACGCCGGCGGCACCGGGACCCCGCGGAGCTCCGCGGCCTGATGGAAAGGGGACCAGGGACCCCTATGGCACAGGGGACCTCGCAGAGTCCCCTGGCGAGGGAGCCGCTGGGAGCAGCCCTGGTCCCCGCAGCGGCCACACGGCTTTGTCCCCAGGGTGGGCGGTGGGTGACGCTGGCACCTGTCCCGGCAGAGCYGCCTTTCCCAGGGTGGCCTTGCCGTGACGCCGTCCCCGTGTCCCTGTGTGCCCAGATGCTGATCTACCTCTTCTACGTGCTGCCCTTCTTCTGCCTGGCCATCTACGGGCTGCTCCGGCCCGGCTGCGCCTGGGTGCCTGACTGGAGCCTGGTGGTGGCCGGCGCCATGGCCCAGGTGAGCGCCGGGGGACCGAGGGCACCCAGCACCGGGCTGCCAGCTGCCCATCCCTCCGGGAGCCGTTTCCATGGCGATGCCCGAGCTCGATAATTACGTTTTTTCCCTCTGTGGATCCGAACGGAGCCGGGGAGGAGTGAGACAGAAATAGGCTGGAGCGGGCGGCCACCGTCCCGAGCTGGGACCTGCACGGGGAGKGGGACAGGAGGGCCCCGCGGGCACCCGTGTGACGAGCCGCGCCGTGCTCTGCAGGCGCAGTTCRCCCACGTGGGCTCCTCGCTGCACGGCCGCACGCCCTTCCCCTACCAGACCCCCGAGGACACCCGCGGCACCTTCCTGGCGGCCAACGCGCTCTACGCGCTGGGCCCGCAGCTGCTGGCGCTGCGCTGCCTGCGGCGCCCCGCGTTCTTCCTGCCCGCCGCCGCCAGCCTCCCGCGCGGCAAGAAGCACCAGTGACGGGCGCTGCTGCSCCTGCCCTGGCRCCGGGACCCCCGGCGCCTCCCCCGGGGTCCCCGTGCTCTGCCATGCTGGCGGAGGCGCCGCGGGAGCGGGCGCTGCACTCCGGACACGTGCGTGGGAGGATGGGACCTCGGAGCAAAGCGGTGTTTACAGAATAAATGCCCTAAGGGGGCGGCTTTTTAACCCCCACGTGCCTGGGCTGCTGCCGGGGACCTTGTGGTCACGGGTGCCACCGCACCGTGCACTTCCCACCATCCTGATCCCTTTCCGTACGGGATCGCGGCTCCTTGCGCCCTTGCTGTGTCCTTGGCACTGTTGGGGAACCTGGGGAAGCATCGTCTCAGGGGCATAGGGGTGCATAGGGGTGCATAGGGGTGCACAGGGGGGCAGGAGGGTGCATAGGAGTGCAGGGCAGGTGCACAGGGTGCAGGTTGTGCACGAGGGTGCAAGCACATGAATAGGGGTGCAGCAGGGTGCATGGAGGTGCAGGAGGGAGCACAGAGGTTCAGGAGGGTGCACAGGGGGGCAGGTGGGTGCATGGGGGTACGGGACGGTGCACAGGGGGGCAGGAGGGTGCACAGGGGGGCAGGAGGGTGCACAGAGGTGCAGATGGGTGCATAGGGGGTGCAGCAGGGTGCACAGGGGGGCAGGGTGCACACAGGGGTGCAAGCGTGTGCTGCATCTGCACACACGTGTGCAAGGACACACGTGTGCATGTTCCGGCACCGTCTCGGTGGGTGCACACGCGTGTCCCAGCTGCACGGAGGGGCCGGTCCCTGCCCCCCCGCGTCATCCTTCCGCGGCGGGGGGGGCAGCGCCCGGCCCGGTCTGTCGCACCGAGCCCGTTGGGCTGGTGACCTTGGCGAGGCGCCGCCGTGCGCAGCGCCGGGGCCGGGCCCGGGCCGCGCTCCCGGTGCCGCCCCCTGCGCGGAGCCGCCGCGGCAGC